AGAGAGAGCATTCCCCTCAAATCGCACTATCTCTCTCAGTCGTATTCTGCCAATTTTCGGCTTCACCTCCTCCACATCAAAAGCATAGGAATGCTCGGTCTATTATATATGTCGTTGATCGGACCGCAGCCTTTGTATGAAATCAGGATCACGCGGCAAATTACGCAATAAAATGGGATGTTTTGATTGGTCAATTTGGATAACGCGACGCGTGACGCGCTCAGTGGGAACGTACCTTTAGCCTTTGTTATTCAATGATAGAAGATATCCAGTCAGTTGGTACTCGTATAGACAAATTCGTGCAGTTGGTATCAAATATTTTTGCATTTTGGTGATAGCGGTAGCATTATTTGTCTATATTCATTTTGACGTAAAAAATGGCGGATTGCAAGGGTGCGTTTTGTGTTCCTCTAGATTCAAGTTTCATGTGTGTGGAAGTGAATTAATATTGATTAAATGTTAAAAATATCTTGTGCCACATAATGTAACGCAATATGACACTAAAAATACAGGATGTTCTTTGATGAGATTTTCACTTATCATACCTATAGATCGACGAACCAACTGTTCACGATGATGATTTTAATTGCTTGTTTCTATTTTATTTAGAGGATATAGAGGATATCGATCGTCCACCACTCGTTTTGAAAGTTGATCCGCCTGAGGAGTTGCTGGAAGACTCTACCGAAGATTCAACGATTAGTAATTCAGCTGACCGGGATACACACGTTTATGGTTATTCTAAAATATTCATATAACTTGTCATTGGCACATGCGCGCAACAATTAAAAATTATTATCTTTACCGTACAATGAGATATCTAATGAAATAGTATGATAAATTTATGGATTTTGCAGATGAAACGAAAAGTCATACAGCAGAATCAAATGACCAAGAATCCACCATGGCAGCTAATAAGCCTCCCAATAAGAAACATTGTAAGTTTGCATGATTTAATAAAAAAAATCATGATGTGACATCATTGTATATCAATACATATTGTATGCTTGTAGGTCCTGTGCTATCTGTTTCAAAATTGGGAAATTCATTTGGTATTAATGAATTCTCGAACTCTGTAACTAGTAAATCAAAGTCGTCTATACTAAGACCACCACAATTAAGTATGATAACCAATAGTTCTATAGGCACTACTGACAAAATTGTTTTACAACCTGCAAAATTTCACAATCCATTTACAAAGGCTACTGAGAATTCTATAGATGAGGATGAGTCTATAATGAATAGCAATAAAACAGAAACAAGTAAAGACTTCAAAAGTGAGGAAAAATCTACAGAAGACGTAAAATTGAAATTTTTGCCTTTGGGTGCAAGCGCCAAGGAGAATGAGAATAATATAAATAATTCTATGGCATCCAGCACGTCTACTCCTAGCTTTGTGTTTGGTCAGAATTTGAAAGAGCGTGTTACTGTTTCAAATGACACAGAAAGTTCGAATAATTCTGAAAAAGATGAGACGAAAAGTGAGGAGAGCAATGAGAATGGATCTTCTGAACTCCTATTCTCAAATGCGGCTGCAAATTGTCGTGCTACAGTGAGACCAGGTTTAACATTGACTCAAGCAGCGCAAGTGTTGGAAGAAGCTAATCGTGCAAACAAGAGAAAATATAATCAAGTAACATTATTAACTGGTGAAGAAGGCGAAACAAATGTTCTTCAGATAAATTGCAAATTATTTGCCTTTGATAAGGTGTGTAAATCTTGATAATAATAAATTATTTAATATTTAAAATAAATTTATAATAAACAATTTTTCAATTTTATGAACAATTTAATATAAATAACGTTATATGAATTAAATTATACTTAATATTGAGAAAAAGAGAGGAAGGGGAGGGGAGGGGAGAAAGAGAAAGAGAAAGAGAAAGAGAAAGACAAATTTCATAGTTTACTATATGTTGCAGACTAGTAGCAGTTGGCAGGAAAGAGGGAGAGGTATGTTAAGACTTAATGATCGAGATGAGGAATCTCGTTTGGTCGGTCGTACTGCTGGAACGCAACGATTGATCTTGAATACAAAAGTATGGCCGGGTATGACCGCGGAACGTGCTGGACCTAAATCATTAAGACTAACTGCTATGGATGTTCACGGGGATATTCGAATCTTTATTGTACAAGCGGCACCTAAAGAAGTCGATCAACTGCACAGTCTTCTATTACAGCGACTTAAACGTGCGCAGGAACGCCATCCTAAGAAATTGGCAACGGACCATTGACAGCCATCGACTATTACGGCGAGGCATTAACCATGCATCAGCTTAATTTGTGCAACATAGAGGTTAATATTAAGATATGAAAAGAGCTAAATTTTTCAGGAATATAAGACTATTTAGTATGCGCAATAGAATGGCTATGATTTGTGCCTTCCTTCAGAAGTTGCAGCCCTTGGCAGTTTCAGTATTTAAAGAAGATTAAGTTGTGGTACTTGGTATGAGTTTGACTTTCTTATCTATACATTAGATTTTTTTTTCCAAGAATATAAAACTTGTTTATAATCTTTTTTAATTGATTCCTTTTTTTTATTTAAAATTTAATGTGATTTTTAGATAAAATGGCGTTATATTAAAAAATAGAGATAAAAATTATCACAATGTTAATTGTATGTCATAGCAAATCTTAAAATAAATTACAATTTAATTCTTAAAAAAAAATTCAAGAATTTTAATATGTCTATATTTACATTGAACTATGCACAATTGCGTATTGCAAGCATATCCTTTTTTGTCCAGGAAGGGTAATGTGTTATATTAATCATAGATTTAAATAAATAATTTGTATATGTATAATTTATCATTAAAAAAATATATGAGAGTGGCTGAACAGGTATGAGTTATAGTGTATTTGTAGCATGTAATATTGCCGTTGTACTTTGATTTGTATTTAAAGGACGATTTGTGGGAATGTACAATACAACGGCATTATTATTAACATTATTAATTATAATTATAAGTACATGTTTTATTTTAGATGTAAATAAAATCCTCAGTCTAGTGATGGAGTTCTAATTGTGCCTCCTAATTTTATTCTCTATGCTGTGAAAATAGATGTTTTTAAAATGGATTGATAATTGAAACAAGGCGGGGCAAAAAACTCACTATTTTATACCGTGATATATAATAAAAAAATAGTATTTTACTTAAGAAACTATATTCTATGATTTAAAAATTCTAAATTTTCTGTCATGTGATGCGTGAAAAATATTGTATCATTTGTTAGTTACTACGCGATAAAAATAGAAACGGAAATTTCTTATGGAAACTTCTTTGGTATTATATGTCCTGATGAAAGAATTCTCATAAAATCTAACTTATGAAGTTTTCTATAAAAATATCAAATTTTTTTAAATTTTATAAGTTTTCTTCGGAAATTATAGAATAAGCAATTTCAAATAAATATTACAGAATTTACATATATGAGGAATTTTAGAAAAAAAGAATTTTCCTAACATTTATGAAAATGGTACATTCTATTCGTATAAAAAATTGAATGATTTTCTAAAAAGTTTTCAAATTGTATAAAAATTATGAAAAATTTTTAAATTCCAAGAAATTATGTAAAAAAAGTTTTTTAAAATTTTATTTTTGCGAGAATTTTTATATAATTAAAGCATGTCATTAATACATCAATTTTTTTTGTATAAACTTTTTTTTTGAAACATTTTGTTGAATATTAATATATAGGAATTTTTCTTGAGATCGCTAATTTAAAGTCAAAATGATCCCATATAGCAGCTGAATTAAAAAAATTTAACTATGACTTATTAATAAATCATAAATAACTAACAAGTAAACTTCGCAAAGTGTTAAATTTTGATCTTAATCAAACTTGTACACTTTAATTGAGGTCACATAAATAGATGAATTTAGAAATTATCAATTGGTGCTAAAAAAACGATTTAAAGGGATGAATTAAACCACTTTTCTTTTAAGTATAAATTAATCTATATATTTTTTTGTTATATCTCGAAAATTATTCGAGATATCAAAAAATGTTTTATAGAAAAGTTTTACAGTAAAATTATCTCTATTCATTTACATTAATAGTATTTTTAAAAACTAATTATTTTCTAAACTTAAAAAAATAATTATATAAAAAATTTTAACGTAAATAGAGATAATTACTGTAAAACTTTTGAATAAAACATTTTTTGATATCTTAAATAGTTTATGAGATATAACGACAAAAATTCAATATTGCTTAAGGATGTTTAATACGTATGTACAATAGTAGCAAAAAGTAATTAAAGGACTGATTTTGACGAATATGCT